TCTTCTTGCTACTAGCAATGATGATCAATTATACTAATAGACTAAATTAAGCTTGTATTTTGCAAGAATATAGCAATTAGGAATGACCCTTTTAATTAGTTAAATTGAAAAGCATAAAAAGTTGAAATCTTTGTTGAGTAAAAATGGAAAAGTTTGCAACTTTGAGAATCCAGCAACAAATGATGACAAATTAGGCTTCTTTTTGGCAACTATATTAGCAGTTTATGCCCATAATAATTCTTGAATTCAAAAGCTTAGAAAGTTAAAATCTTGGTTAGGTAAAAATGGAAAGTTTGAAACTTAGGAAAATCCAGTGGTGGATCCTAGTAGAAGAATTTAAGAGGAACTGGGAACAAAGTGAAGGATTAAGGAGACATGAAAGTCAGACAACTCTTACAAGCACGTGAATATTTTAAGTAATTCTAACAACATGACCAAAAAAAGGAAAAGAATTTATGGGCCCGTTTGGCTTTTTTCCGAAATCAGTGTTTGACCATAAAATTTTCATTTTTCACATTAACGATGAATTTCGAAATTTTTTAAAAATTAAAAAAAAATTCCAAAAACTATTTTTTAAAATTTTCCCTTCAGATGATTTAATAAATTTAAAAACGGCCCAAAATTATATTCATAGTCCAAACACAATTCTAATTTTCAAATATCATTTTCATTTGAAACTTTTTTCACTTTTTTCGAAATTTTATAATTCTTATATCCAAACGCCCACTAAATAGGCGTTTGATTATAAAAATTGTAATTTTTGAAAAAAATATTGTATTTAGAGTTAAGTTGAAAAATAATATTTTGGAATTTCAAATTACGTTTGGACATACATTTCACTTGAAAAAATATTATAATTTTGCGAGTGAGGGAAAAAATTTCGAATAATTTTAGTTTTTGAAAAAATATTTTTGATTTTTTTTAAAACTTACAAAATTTCATGGACAAACACGTTTTTTAAAAAACAACTAATAAGGAAAACAAATCTATGGACAAACAGGTCCTAAAGTTGCATTGCGTAAGACTCATTTAAAGTGGAAGCACTTCTTATCCGTAATAATTTTTTAATTTTCAAATTTCAATCCCGAAATATTTGGTTAAGGAATCTTATTTATTTCACTATAAATGGTATAAAAGAATAAAGTTGTACTAACTTAATTAAATTGAAAAGGGAGTATTTTTCACGTTCATTTATGTTGTAGACCAATCACAGGCACGTCTGCTGCCATGGAAAATAAAGAAGAGGGTTGGTGAATTGGAATAAAGCAACGAATAAAGCCGCTTGGAATTTTTCTTTTTTTAAGTCGCTTGGAATAATTTTAAGTCTTTATGTGTTGGGGCTATAAAGACATTTTTTCTTTTTTTAAGCCGGTGAAGATCTCACATATTCAGAGGATGAAAGTTGCAGAGATGAGGATGTTGAGGTGGATGTGCGGGCATACAAGGAAGGATAAGATTAGAAATGAAGATATTCGAGAGAAGGTGGGTGTGGCCCCCATGGAGGACAAGATGCGGGAAGCAAGACTCAGATGATTCGAGCACATTCAGAGGAGGAACACTGATGCACCGGTGAGAAGGTGTGAACGACTGGCGGTGGTGGGTACGAGGAGACCTAAGAAGTATTGGGGAGAGGTGATCAAGCAGGATATGGAGCGACTTAGGCTTACTGAGGACATGGCCCTAAACAGGGAATTGTGGAGATCGAGCATTAAGGTGGTAGGTTAGGGAAATTGTGATGTCTTTGTTACAGCGCACTAGAGTGAGACTAGCCAGTTAGGAAGTAGTCTTAGGATGCTATTGATCAACTACTGATGATGGGCTTTATCTCCTGTGTATTAATACCTTACATCTTTCTCGTATTTCCTATATCTCTTATATTGTTGTTACTTTGTTTTTNTATTAATACCTTACATCTTTCTCGTATTTCCTATATCTCTTATATTGCTGTTACTTTGTTTTTTATGGTATTTATGTTATGTTATGGATTTTATGGTACTTTATGTTGTTTTATTATGAGTCTATTGATAGTACTAATATAGTGTCTCTTGTTGCCTCTTTGAGCCGAGGGTCTCCTGGAAACAGCCTCTCTGCCCCTCGGGGTAGAGGTAATGTCTGCGTACATATTACCCTCCCCAGACCCCACTTGTGGGATTACACTGAGTTGTTGTTGTTGTTGTTATATGTGTTGGGGCTATAATTATTTCAGTTATTGTTTATCCGTACAATTATTTCAGCTACAACATCAACATTCTGCAACTTGCGTCAAAATATCAAATAATTGTCTCTCTTTATATTTTTATTTTTATTTTATTTTCTTAGGAAGGAACTCTAGGACTAGGGAGGGAAATGTCGTCACATTTTCTTGAAAATAATAATTGGATGGGACAAATTATGAGTCTTGATACTCTTTCCTCTCACTTTACGTGACACCATTTTATTCAATGTAAGAAAAATACAAATTTTACTTATATATATTATAATGTATATTCACGAGATGCACCTTTTAATTGTGAAAAAATAAGAAAATATCATTAGTCTATTTTATATCGATATCACTACTCTTAATTATTGGTCTAGCTAGGCAATGGCTCGATATTGACCTTGACTCTCACTGTTAAACACTATCCATAAGAAGTCTAAAAATCTTTTCTTTCTATCTTGAGCTCACTTGAACGGTTCCTAATCATGTGGTCGTGCATAGTATTCTTATGCTAAAAAATATTGTTAGTCATGGTGAGTAGGGGTGTACAAACCGAACCGAAAAATCGCACCAAATCGAAAAATCAAATCAAACCGATTAAAAAACCCTACTAGATTTGGTTTGACTTGGTTTGGTATTGAGTAAAAAAATCCGAATCAAACCGACATATAAATAGATAAATTTTATTTATATTTTTAAGGCTTTATAGTAAATTTTCTTTAGAAAATGTAGAAATATTTGGGATCCTCTCATGTATTAACCTTAAAAGCGTAAATTAACGAAAGATTACTGTTAGATGACTAAGAAAATAACTATCACGTATTACTAAAAAATTCTCCCATTAGAATATTTTAATAGATCATATGTTTGTCAATTTTTTTCATATTTACTAAACATATATTCACTTATCAAAATTTTATCTATAATTTTAACAAAGTAAGATTGAAATAATATTCATGTAACCAAAAAAACCCGAAAACCCGAAAAAACTGACAAAACCGAACCAATCCAAACCGATATAATTGGTTTGATTTAGTTTTGATAAAAGTCGAACCAACCCGGTCCATGTACACCCCTAATGATGAGTATTGCTCACAAAACCGTATATGATGGATCCACTATTTTTTAGGCTACCAAATTCAGAAAAATCTTCATGTATATAAACACACGAGAAAATTGACATAATCAATAATTCCTACTTCATGATCCCGAAATACCAAAAAATGATGTTACTAGGCCATTTCCGATGGACCCGCCAAATTTCAAATTAATCGAAGTTCGTCAACTTTTTGAGCATCGGTAGGATTCAAGTGGTCGTGCATTCCAATTAGAATTACTCTATTTTTAAATATTGAAAAACAAATAGGGAATCTTTCAGAAATATCCCAAAAAAGTCTCAACTTACCAACCTCTAGCCATTAATCATATACTTATCAAAACTAACCTAACACATAAAAATTGAAAATCCAAATAAATAAGATTCCTTCTCTCCAAAAATCACACGCAAAGATCTCCTCCTATATTTTTAAGCGTGATTAACAATATTAGATGCAAGACGGAAAGGAAATTTCATGGATGAGGTAGCAAATAAAGTGATGAAATACAAAAAAAATATATACAAGATTCCAAAAATCTAAGCAAAAAAGACATTTTTCAATAGGTATGGTTGAAATTCATTGAAAACATATAGATGGGTCAATATATGAAATTTGAGAAAGATTAGAGGTGATTTGGACTGATTTGGTATCAAAATTTGTAGTTAAAATCGAGTTCAAAAATTTCTTCTGTGAAACATGTACTTATCAAATATGTATCACGCATGTATCTCATACACAGATATACATAGATATATATGTGATACACATTTGATACAAATATGATACATGTGTGATACATAAATGATACACGGTGGGATACACATGTCATTTTTTTTATGTTCGTCTTCTACTTCAAACAACCTCAAAACTCCACCAAATCATCCCAAAATTAAGATTCAAGCTCCTTAAGATGTACCCAATCTAGAACCCGTTTGGATTGGCTTAAAAAAAGTAGTTTTTTAGCAGAAATAGCTTGTAAACCAAAAAACAGTAAGTTGGGATTGCCCAACTTATTGTTTTTGGTTTGTTTTAAGCAGTTTTTAACTTATTTTAAGTACTTTTTAACTTTGCCAAATATTGAAAAAAGCTAAAAAGAACTTAAAAGCTGATTTGACCAGATTAAAAGCCAATCCAAACACCCTCCTATTCTAATAACACCCACTTAAAAGAAAGCAAAAATTTGACCCTTTTTGGCTACAAATAGCTAATTAACTAATATTAGTAATATTTTATGAATTGACCAATTTTTATAGTAAGCTACTTATAAACGGACATAGCTGATAGTTTCCCAACTAATGACAACAAAAATAACATAGTCTGGGGAGGGACAAAAGGCAAATATGTTATATTAAGAAAAGAGGTAAAGCTCTCGAAACGGATCAAAACAGAAAGCCTTAAGACGAAAGTTCCTAATGCATTGTAATTTTTAAATTTGGATGAAGAAAAAACTACTTTCTTCTGATTCACATAACACTCTTCTTACTTGAAAGGATTTAACATCATTCTATACAACTTTCACAAGTTCAAGATTCTAATATCATTTAGCTAATCAAATTTGAACATAAAAAAGACACATTTGAACAGTTCTGCACTCTTTTCAATTAACTAATGTTTTACCACTAATTTGATACTTTCAATAGGACCTAAACAAACACACAAATAAGTCAAATTGAAATGTTAAATCATGTGACTAGAAGTCACAATTGGAATTAAAAGAAAATTACGTATAATATTAAGTAGCATAATACAACAAGAAGAAAGGATACGAATGACAATGGTGTTGTTCATCGATAAAGTTAGTTAATCTTGAGTACAACTTACAACGACTGATACATGGTCCAACAAAAAGGAGGGATGAACATGTATGGTGTATTACAAAAAGATAGCGGAAGAAGGAAATAGGAGGGCGTAAAGATCTGCTACTTCTATTGAAGTTATCTGCTTGCATGAGTTACAATAGAGACAATCTTCTCTGTCTCTACCCATCAAAACCAGCAGGAAAAGAAAAGGATTAACTAGGTCAAAGTTCTCGATCTGTATCTTCGTTTTCATCACCTATTGTCTTATTGGAACTACTGCACAAATGTAGAGAGTGCAACACAAATTAATCAGTCCATACGTGAAATGCTAAGAAGATTTTTAATATATAATATGATCGCTTCTGGTTAGATAGTTTATCAGTACCTAATAAACCCAGTTTGGAGTAGTTAATACTATATTAATATTGAAGAACATGAGCTATTGCTAAAATTAATTACCTTTTCCCATTGCAATAGTTGCTGAGATCTTCACATAATACCTTGCTTACATCTCCAACTTGGACAGATCCTTTCTTCATCAATTCTGTGAACTGTAATTTATGGATAGCATCAGTGTAATCGGTGATAATCATCATTAATCTGGTATAAACAGAAAAAAATATCAAGAGCTATGAATCAGGGAGTAAACGTCATCGTTGTAGGAAAATCATCTTACGTCATCTTCAGTTTGCTCAAGTAACCTGGCAGCATAACAAAAATTGTTAAAAGTGCAAAAATTTAGAGTGGAATCAGAAGTGAAATAGGAATACACTGTAGCTAAGAGGCTTAAATGGTCACTCTCTTACCTTCCACAGAAGGATGATATAGCTTTTGAATGTGCTCGAGCTTCTTGCTTATCTGTCAAGGAAAAAGGAAAAGCAAAACATTAAATTCAAGTTATATGTAAACTTTAACACATAATAACCAGAGATGATTTACTGAGGAAATCACATGATTAGTGTCCCTGATAAATTATTTCTACTCTAACGCACTCATTTTATGAGAATCCATTTGCTGGTTAGGACTATCAGAAATGGTTAAGTTTAGCTTACTCTCAGAAAGTTAAATCATAAATGCAGTTAGCAACTTAGCGTCAGGATTATATTTCCCATATCGTAATATGTGTTCGTTAGTCCACATTTTTGAGGTCCATGTCCAATGAACATCACTTTACTAGCTTGCTCTCGGCACAAAACTTGCCTAACAATCTGCCTCATCTAATCTATCTTAGTCATCTCCTTAACTCAACTTTTGATTGGAAAAATACAAGAAACTTAGAAGTTATTTTCATTCCAAAACTTAATATTTTCTCCATATGGTGCACACAGCTCATTAAGATAATGGTAACCAACTCATGAACATAAAGAGCATGGGGTTCAGTTGAATTCCTCTCATAATTGATACCTCCCCTTGGGCGCTCTTCATATGGTGCACATCACTTGTTAAGATAATGCGTTTCTTGTACAGCATAGCCTGTAAGTTATATCTTTTCTTGTTATAATGAACAAATTCCTGCTAACCAACCCATGAATAAGTTATCTCGTTTCTTTTTTATAACGAACAAACTCCTGCTAACCAACCCATGAATATGGAGAGCATGGAGTTCAGTTGAATTCCTCTCTTTTTCTTTTTTTCTTTTCTTTTTTTGATTAAGTAAAATGTAGGTTTGATTGAATTCCTTTCATATTGCTACCTCCATTGGGGTGCTCTTTACTTCACGAAAATTCCAGTTACAGTGTATGAAGCCAGTTCCAGGAACACTTAGTAATGTCTGAAAACCGAGTAAATTGCCATAATATAAATGGTAGTACCATAATCATGTTCTCAAGTTCCAAGCTGTTAGAAAAATTCCCAAGCTCTCTCTGTGTAAAGGAAAGGAAAGAATTAACTAAAGGAAGATCGTTGACTCGCCAGCTAAGAAAATGCTAGATCATTCCCGCAACACAATGTCAACGTGTGATGCTATTCACATCAATATACCCCATGTATGATGTAATTTGGCAGCTGGAACTATAATGAGTATGGATGAGGTTTGTGCTTCGAAACAGAATGAGTATGAGAGATAAAATAAAAGAGCATGTCCCTGGCAAATACTCAAGTTCATAACAATTAAGATTATGTCCAACTCGGCCAGAGAGAAGACTTGCATATATAGAGAGACTGTGTTGCTTACTGACATCCAACTCTTAAGAGGCAAGATATCCAAAAGGTAATTTGATAAGCAGATAGCTTGTGAAGGTCATGCTGAGGTTTGGCAGAAACTAGATGAATGACTTTTTCAAGAAACTTATACTTCGAACTCTCAATATTAGCAACATTAGGAGTGCAGTTATAGATGTGAAGCAATTAAGCATTCAAAGTGGAAGAAATGAAGTCATGAGACGTACTAGTCTTGAGAAGGTCCCAATTGTTTACTTTAATCCAAGTTTTTGTGCTTGAATCCACCTAGCAGGCAGAAAAAGAACAGCGTTAGCATTAAGGTAACTTTGTACTCAAGTGATTGCCAGAATAAATTGTACAAAAAGCTTTTGTCCCAAATTTGGATTTATCCAATTTGTCTATTAATACTGTTGATTTACAAATAACACATGGCAATGAGAAACTAGTAAGATTTCAAGTAAACGCTACCTTCTCCAGAGTATAATCTTGCATCTTTTCACAGAGGTCCTCTAGGAGTTCAACAACTCTTAGCTCACTGGCTCTGCTTGAAGAAATATAGAAAAGAGGTTACTAAAATCATACAAGTTTAAACTTTTATATGCATGTTAACTCAACAAGAGGTGAAAAAATTTGTGTAACTGCACATAAGCAATATGGGATTCTAACACTTGCTTACTCCTAAAAGCATAGGTAATCTCGTGACCAGGGGGAAGGAGCTATTAAAACTGGGACAAGAAGGGATGAGAAGTAGGCAGGTAAAGAGAAGAGGAAAGAAACCAATGACATCTGATAATATAGAATAGTAAGAAGACAGTAAAAAGAAAGGGATTATGAAACCCTTTGATTTGGATCCAAGGAAACAGAGGAAGAATATGCATGAAAAATATAATTGCCTAGCAAGAATAACTTGCTTTTAATGTTTATCAAAACAAAAACAAAAAGAAAAACAACTTGCTTTTAATTCATAAGGACAAACTGGTACCGCACCATATTATCTAACCTCCCCACCCCTACTTATTTCCTGGAGCACAAAATACTAACTACTTATTGAGAACATAAAAAGATTGTGGTGAAAGTTGAGGTGAAACACCACTCTTCTCTTAGTTTTATTCTTTAGAAAACCAAGCTGATGGTTACCTTCTGTTAGAAACTGCAGTTTCTATTAAGAATCCAACATGCAAAATATGAGTTATTGTAAAGTGGTTATATTATAATTTGATTGATCATTGTTGCCTGTTAAAGTAACAAGCTTTTAATGAGGAAAAGATTCAGATGATATTTTCAAACTACTAGTTTTTCTAAATTGAAAGAGGGGCAAAAGTATAAACCTTATGGAAGCACATTCCTAGGAAATGAAAAAATAACAAAACTAAGTCACTCCAGAAAAGCGGAGAAATGAAAAGCATGTTCAAACTGGAAGAAAGCAACTATAATATAGTTCTGTCAGATGAAGAAAATAAATATGCTTTAACTCTTTAACCAGAAGGCCCATAGGAATAGGATATCAGAGAAATCAATTTGAAGTAAGCTCGGTTCTTAATTACAACTGGGTAATAGATTTAAAAATTGTAACGAAAAAAAGAGTAGCAATTAGGAACTGACATAAACAAAGACCTTAACTAATCAATAAGGTGATCATTAATATTAGACCTGTAATCAATAAGTTTCCCTTCACGCTGACCTTTAGAATCCAGGCGGTGTCTCATGTCTAAATGGTTTCTTGGTTTTTCCTATAAAATACACATAAATTAGTGCAGGAAATGTCAGAGAAAATGACAAAGAATAGACATGAACTATATTACTTTAAGGGGTCGTTTGGTTTGAATACGGCTTATGCCGGGATAAGTTATGCTGGGATTAGTTATCCTGGTGTTGTTTTTTATCCACTGTTTGGTATGTTGTATTAAAAATGACAATTGCATAATTTCTAAGAAGAAGGTATAAGTTATCCCAGCACTTATTACCCCACCCTCTACAAGGTATAAGTTATCCCGGTACTAATTTTAATCCTGGGATAACTTATACCAGGTTTGCTAACCAAACAAAGTATTAAGATGGTATTAAAATTTTATACCAGCACTAGACCTTCTTATACCTCATACCAAACGACCCCTAAGTAGATGAGAATATGAAATACAACTTGAACTGAAGATCTTTTACTTCAGATGTATTGTCCTAGTTATATATCATTTTAGCAATTTGATTTTCTAGTATTAAAATCAGATACTAAGACTATTGAGACCACTATTAAAGCCTCTTTCTCTATGAGTGAATCAAGTGTGGCCTTGGCACAACATAAGAAGTTTTACTACATTGTGTATAAATCAAAGGCTTTTACATGAACACAAGCTTGGGACACAAGACACTTTCAATTATTTTAATAAACAGTCGCTACCCCCGGTATATGCCGCTTTCCTAATCAAAAGATAGGAGAGCACCCCTTCTCCCAAAGTTACAGGGTCATTTTGCCGAGTTCCTTCGATATTCCCATCTGTCTTTCAAAACCATCAATCTTGACTAACACAACTTCAAACATTTCCATTTCCTTGTAAGAAGAAGTTCTCACTGCACAGTCATATAAAAGTAACCAATTTTGCAAATCACGCTAGAAGAACCTAATATCTCCATTTTAAAGCTTGGGTGAGATAGCATCATGGCAGATAGCTAGGATGATTTCTTTTTCTTCCTTCTCATTTTCTCGATAGATTGAGCTAGGACAATTTCTACAAAGTAAATGCACAACACAAAAGATAAAGATCAACAAAGTGACATTATATTCTTACTTTCAAGAGTCCATGCTCCAGCTCCTCCTGACAGTCATGAAAAATAATTGAGTCAGAACCAAATTAGGTGCCACACTTGAATCAATTGTCAAGTACATGTAAATTCTCATTTGGCTATTTTCACTATCATTAAATGTCAAAAAAGCTTAAACATTATCAGAATCATGTACTCATAACCAACATAAACAAATACATTAAATCGCAATCTCAAATTAGTCGGAGTAGACTATTTAAATAATCAATTGAGGTGAAATAATTTGTCTTTAATCGAATTAAAGATTTTCTAAGCTAGATCATATGAACAAAATAAGGTAGAATGCATCTATATGCATTGGCGTGAAATGAGCAGAAGAGAATGTGAATACTTACAGCAATGGTAGTACAAGCAGCACATTTATCTTCGATACAGAGAGTAGCTGGTAAAACAGATAAGAAAGCAATAGCAACAATCAAAATCGATCTCATATATGGCTTAATCGCCATTTGCGTTCTCTCCTTTTTCGTGTGAATTTTTCCCGGTGCCGGAGAATCGAAGGAGCTACGGCGGAGAAGTATTTGTTTTTAATGGGAACGGCGGTCCACGTCATCGGAGTACCTTTGGTGTCATTATCCAATAAACATGAGCCACGTCTGCCTTTTTCTTATTTGATTGCCACGTCGGATTGAACTCGTTGCCATAGCCACGTTTGCTTTTTCTCCTGATTTCTTCAATTATTTTTGCTTAGAGATTTCTTCAAATTGCTTAGAGTTTAGATTATGTTGCAGCAAAAAAAATTTATGAAAATTATTCCTATAGGGATTTATCACAAAAGCTTTTAGAAAAAAAATTATTTAAAATTATTCCTCCATCTTTATCTAGTGGTAGCATAATTTATGATTAAAAATCCAGATTTTTCAATTCATTTACAACTCATAAAAGAAATTTATTACTTTAAAGATTTTTTTCTAGTATTTTCTTTTACGCGTTCATCTTATTATTCTATATTTCTTTTTCCACGAATACAATATAATTATACTGGATTTAGGTGGACTAGGTGATAGTAGGGAGGGGTAACTTTTCAAGAATAGAGTTTAATTTGCTTACATTGACATTGTAGATAATTTTAATATTTATTTGTATAAATGCCAAAGATGGATGATTAACAATAATAATGGTGAATAAATAATCCCAAAATATTTATTTATAATTATTGCATTTGCTTTATATAAAATTACGTATTTCATTGGTTTGAGGATCTCTCCACGAATAATTAAGAGCAATATTATCATGCTAATATTTTTTTTTATAATTCGCGCATCATGCGGGTACGTATACTAGTTGATTGAATAAGAGGAGACACCTCATGTCATTTAACTACTTATTACTCGCAGAGCAGTTTTTATTATTTTATTTGTTTCATATTATGTGAGATTATTTTTTTATTAATCTGTTTTAAAAATAACATATTTTAATTGAAAATAATTTAGCTTTAAATTTTGTTTTATCTCAATGATATGTTTTTATAATCATAGCAATCTTGTGGTCTATTTAATAAGTATACTAATTTTAAAAAAATATTTTTTTTGTTATACTTCGTACACAATCAAGCCTTTCAAATAAATTGAAAATTAGGAGCATATAATTCTCATAGTGGTCTTGGCTGCAACTAGGGTTGTGCATGGATCGGATCAGATCGGATTTTGCACATTTCAGATTCGGATTCCGGATTTAGGATTTTAGAAAATGCAATTCGAATCCGATCCAAATTATATCGGATCAGATTCGAATTTTAAAGTTTGGATCAGATCGAATTTCGGATCGTATTATGCCTCAAAGTTGCAAACTGATATGTATATTTTCTTTGTAAAAGTGGCAATACATTAAGAAAAATTCATGTTTATACAATTATGAGAATACTATGGTGCCAATATAGCTAAATCTAGCAATTGTAAAGGTAATAACTTTGAGTAAAATGTAAATGAAGTACTGACTATCTGAAATTGAAGTGTAGTATTTATACATTGCCGAATAATTTCGAATCGGATTAAAATATACCAATCCGAATCCGATCCGAAATTCGAATTTTAATAAACACAATCCGAAATTCGATCCAATCCGAAATTGAATGGATTGGTTCAGATTTTAAATATCCGATCCGAATGGACAACGCTAGCTGCAACGATGTTAAATGAATTTGGCCATCTTTAAATGAAGAAATCAAGAATTAAATCCCATTTATAAACAAAATAGTGAAAATATTGTTTCATTAATTTATAGTGCCGCGCATTTAGGATCCTAGTGTCATGTTCCTACCACGTGGATGCCAGCTGTTCATATACCTTTAATTTAATCTTGTACTACTCATTTATGATTAAGTGGGCTCCCCTACAAGGTTACTATTAGTTAAAATAGCACAGTATAACCAGTTTTCGGATTGGTCATTCAAAAATAGTCATCGTTTACGAAGTCACTGAAAAATAGCCACTATTTTACTGTAATAGATACCGGTCCCGCATAATATATGGGAGTTCGGTGCATCTGAGTACGAACTCTAGCATATTATGTTGGACCAGTATACTTTGCTGATTCTTGTATAATATACGGGAGACTGGAGCATCGGTGCTCCAAACTCCAGTATATTATACTGGACATTTATACTTGATGGAACTTCAGTATATTATGCCGGAGTTCTAGTGTACTTATGCTAGAACTCCAACATATTATGCTGGAGTTCCAACATAGTTATCATGGAACTCCCGTATAATATGCTGGAGTTCAAGCATACTTATGTTGGAACTCCAGTATAATATACGGGCGTATTTTCCGGGTTTTGGACAGTATTTTCGCTCAAATTTATCTTTACATGAAAAGTGACTAAATTTCGATTACTTTTAAAACTGGGCTATTTTTGAATGACTAGTTGTAAATCTGGCTATTTTTAAATGTCTCCCCTGCTATTAGTTTTTATTGGTTAAGGGTCCTAATCAACACCTAAACAAATTGACAAGATAAACCCAAAACCCAGAAAAAACAAGAGATTGGATTTATATATAAATAAAAATAAAACGTTTTTTTGGTTGGTGCATTGATATAAACCAATAAAACGAGAAGGTGACAACGTGCCTTGATGTATATTTGTTATTTTAAGCAATTTTATTCCTCTCTAAGTTTATGTGTAAAAATATGCTTTAAAACATGATAAATAAGGGCGGAGATAAAAGTCCAGCTACGAGTTCGACTGAATTCGTTTTTTTTTTCGCTTAACGGTATATTTTATATTAAGAAATTTATTAAATATATATATAAATAAATATTAAATTTAAAATTCAGCCATTAACACTAGATGCCGTCGTTCAAAATCCAGAACACATAAAGTTGATATCCTGAATCCACCTCTGATGATAAATACTTATTCGCGTCGAAGGTTCAACATAACTAAATAATTAACTGCAAGGATCAACGAATCAAAATAAAAATACATATTACTTAACCTTATATAAATTATATTAATTGATTTGGTATAAATAATTGATGCGAGTAATTTTTACTCTTAAAACAACAATAACAAAAATATATATCTTACAACACTTCTAGTAAAAAATTGTTCAAACAAACACCAAGCTAACCGGATCTATTGCTCAAAGATCTTTGGCAATTTTTAATGAACAATTCAAGAATTAAATTCTTTTTTTATAATTAAAAAAAGAGGGGAAAAATATTCAATTAGTTACTGGCCAGGCACTTCCATTGCCGCAAATTAAGGATCCCATACTACCCATTCAGATTAACTAGCCACTACTAATAATATATATATATATTTTTGTTTTTCATCCGGTGTTCGGTACCCGTATTGTAGCCCGACTATATCCGGATTCGCTTCGAGTAAAGCTCCATTCGGGGGATAGCGCTCCCTACCAATGATTTTTCTATACCCAGAACTCGAACTCGAGACCTCCGGTTAAAGGGGGAGTAGCCCTATCACTGCACCACATCCTTTGATGGTACTGCTAATAATATATTGGCTTATGGTCCTAATCATTTGCTACCTAAAATTGAAATGAAAAGAAAAACTCAAATCCTAAAAGAAGGAAAAATATATTGGATTAAAAGTATTGAAAATTCTAATATTTCATACACTATTTTTCGGTAGGTGCATACAATTAAAAAGTAGTAAAATGAGAAGGTGACAAGTGACAACATACCCTGCTAATAATTGACAATTGCATTTACTCATCCCATTCAATGGAGTTTTTTTTTTTTATTTATTTATTCAAGTACCCTTTTTTACTTCCATAATTCCTCATAAATTATTGCATACTCTTATCCAATAAAACTCAATTTTCTTTCCCCTTCAAAATTTTGATTACTTGTACCAAGTCATGGTCAATAGTCACTATTAATAATTAATATATTGATGTACAATATTTCTAGGCCCCATTTGAACAGAGTTTTGGAAAAAGAATTTTGAGAAAATATTCGGAAAAGTTTATGCAAGGAAAAAGGTATACGATATTGTTATTTTAAGAAACTTTTTTTTTGTTCTCAATTTTTTTCTTAAGAAAAGTGCCTCAAAATATTTTTTTTAACCAAACGGGACTTTATAGAAGTCAAAAATTACATTTAGCCCGTGACTGAAATTATTCATATTCGATAGCCGTAATAAGGTATAAAAGTTATATACTATATTTTTTTGTACATAACATGCAAAATATATATATATATATACAAAAAAAATTGCTATTATTTTAAGAGTGACTACGTAGTATCATTCTTTATTTTATAAATAGCGTCTCGAGCCAACAACTGTAGATTGGAATATGTTGGAACTGCATTTTATTGAGAATTGCTTAATCTAAATAAATCAGAAAAAGGGAAAGAAAAAAGGAAAAATAATAGTACTAGTAATAATTAAAAACAATAAAGAAAAAAACAAAAGGCAGATAGAGCAGTGAATGTGGAAAAAGAGAGACGTCGCTCTGAACTTTACTAATTTCATTCCCAACCAACACCACTATAATAATATCAAAATAAAAAAATAAAAAAAAGTACACTACTACTACTCCTCACTTGGAATTAAAATTAGGTTCTTACCTATTTTGATTACGATTTGTGGGGTTTTCTTTTTCAACATTCTTTCTTGTTTTTTCACATGAGAATACCCCATTACTTTTTTTGATTGATTCTTTCTTCACTGAACTCAAAGATGCTTTCTTTTAATCTATAGCTATGAGATCTCATTTGGGGTTCTGCTTTTCTTATCAAAGATGAATCTTTGATTTTGGATCCAGGTTTATGGAGCTTTTCAGATGACTTGATTTATGAGGTTTGCTTTTTTTATTTCTTGAATTTTACATGTTTTTATGTAATTATTTCTCTTGTTTCAAGATTTGTTCTGGATAAAGTTTTGATCTTGTAAAAAAAATTGTATGCTTTTAGCTCATTTTGGCAACCTAAATGTTCCTGAGCTTATTTTGTCTTTGTGTTGTCTAAGCTTTTCATTTATATTTTCTATTTTAGCTCATTTAAGCTGATTATTTGGAGATTCAATTGATTTTTTAGGTATAGGGATGGATATCTGAAGATGTTTCAGGAAGAAAAATATATATGAATCTTGCTTTCAAGGAAAAATTAATAAAGTTAGAGCATCAACTTCATTTCTACCTAAAAAGTTGTGTCTTTTGAGTATATAGGAAGACACCCTTTAATTCCTAGTGTTTTAGTGTAAGAATATGTCAAATATCTCAATCACTCTTGAAAGAGGAAACTGCATTCATTTGTTTATTAGCTAATTGGCACATTTGTCAGGGCTTTGTGCTTCTCTTCTTTGAGTATGTAGGTTTATGGAGTAACATTATTGTCATTGATGTCGAAAAAAGTTTGTCTGAAAACAAGATAGAAGATGGATGGTGTTTAATAATTGGGGGGATTGGCATTTCAGGTCTCGTCGAAACATCTAAGACTTGGTTTTCCAACAACTATTTGATTTATGTGATAAACATGCCACATAGTCATTATACAATGGATAGTAAGATAATTCCTTTTTTTAACACAATTGTAGGATACTAAGATGACATCAGAAAGGTTAACAGGAGAAGAATCTATTCAACAGGATTTGGAGTCTTTAAGCGTGTCGAAAAAGCTAGTCAGAAGTGTGAGTCAAAAATTGAAAAAGAAGAACCATAGAAGCGGAGGGGGAGAAGAGGATGACGACAGGGGCGTCTCCTTGAGATGTCTAACCCTATACAGCAGAGGAGGTGGGTGCAAAGTAGGTGCTGACACTGGCGATGAGTTATGGGATTCATGTGGTAGAAGAAGGTCAAATGCAAGTGAGGAAGGCAAAGGCTACGCCCCAATATGTGGAAATGAAGAAACCACAGTAGATTGCTTCGCTTATGGAATGAGGGAAAAATTCTGGAGGAGGACTAATAGGAAATCTCTAGAACTTGAAGCAGCACTACAGAACAAAAACATGAATGTGTTTTTGCCGGATGACATCCTTGAAATGTGCTTATTAAGGCTTCCTTTTATAAGTGTCATGAATGCTAGGCTGGTGTGCAAGAAATGGAGAAACTTGACAATGACACCTCGTTTCTGGCGAATGAGGCAAGAAGGTTCGTTTCAGAATCCATGGGTTTTTCTCTTTGGGATTGTAAAAGACGGTTGTTGTTCTGCAGAAATACATGCATTGGATGTTTCCTTCAACCAATGGCACAAAATTAACTCTGAAATTCTGAAAGGAAGGTTTTTATTTTCTGTTGCCGGTATCCATGATGATGTTTATGTTGTTGGAGGCTGTTCTAGCCTTACTAACTTTGGGAAAGTTGATAAGAGCTCATTCAAGACACATAAAAGCGTGCTCGTTTTTAGTCCCTTGATGAGAACGTGGCGTAAAGCTGCACCAATGAAGCATGCAAGATCATCCCCTATTTTAGGAGCTTATGAGATCAGTTCAGATTGTTTAATTATTAGGAATCAACAAACTCGAGGAGACAGAAGATTTTACCGTCCAAGAGTTGGTGGGGTATCTGATGTTTATGAGGATCCTCATAGACTTTCAGTAAGACGCCAATTTCGATATTCTCTGGATGAGAACGAACTTACGTCCTTGCCAAGTGTGAAACCGTATAAGTTTGTCAAACAAAAAAAGGCGAACATTCAAATAAAGATCAAAGACGCTTTCTCTTGTTTGCTGTGGGGGGTCTTGGATGCTGGGATGAGCCTCTTGATTCTGGGGAAATTTATGATTCCATGTCAAATAAATGGACAGAGATCCAGAGGCTGCCTGTAGATTTTGGAGTAGCTTGTTCGGGGGTTGTGTGCAGTGGGATGTTTTATGTTTATTCAGAAAGTGATAAGGTAGCAGCATATGACATTGAGAAGGGCTATTGGGTTAGAATCCAAACCAGTCCATTCCCTCCCCGAGTTCATGAATACCACCCTAAACTTATATGCTGCAATGGACGGTTATTTATGCTCTCTGTCTCGTGGTGTGAAGGAGAAGGTCAGATTGGCAGGAGAAACAAAGCAGTAAGAAAGCTTTGGGAGCTTGATCTTATGTATCTCACTTGGACAGAAGTTTCAACACATCCTGATGCCCCAATGGATTGGAATGCCGCGTTTATTGCTGATAAAAACTTTATATTTGGAGTTGAAATGTTCAAAATATTCGGGCAGGTGCTAGACTTCTTGACTGTTGGAGAAGTATCCGGTGCTGGAACAAGCTGGAGCCATATCTCAAGGAACCGTCTACCCCATGAATTGGATGCTGCTTCTTGCTTGACTAAATCCATGGCAGTGCTACACTTGTGACGGATCAAAGAAGATCTACGATAACATCTGTTTCCTCAGCTCAGCTTCAGATCTTCTGAATGCCAACTAGTGAAAATATGTGCAGTGTTGATCATATTCTTTTGTTATGGCCAGTTTTTACCATTTGTTGGACGTTTGATGCTGTTTAACTAATCTATATATTCTTGTTTATTTCATTATTATTCGAATTAGTTCTGTTGATGCAAGTCATTCATTTGTTCTGTAATTTGTTTTTGAGCATAGGAATAATAAACTCCGGTTTTTTATGGTTCAGCAGCTCTTCTTCCTTTTCAATCTTTTTTCTACATATAAATGAGAAAAAGAACTTAAAAATAATTCAAGTCAGTGTACTCTCTGACAACAATTTTGGCACAAAAGAAGTATTTGGAATCGACTGAAGATTTTCAAGAAGGGGAACCTTGCTGCCATGTGACCAAGAGGTCATGGGTTCAAGCCGTTGAAACAACCTCTTACATAAATGCAAGGTAAGGCTGAGTACAATAGACCTTTGTGGTCCGGCGCTTCACCGGGCTGCCCCTTAGAAGCTTCAAATCAACTGAATCAGATCATGGAGCACGTGTTTTTATGGTTCAGCAAAACTCGTAAAAATTGAATAATAATGCATTTTACAACAATAAAACCTTACAACATCTAAGAGGACAATAATCTTTTGAAGAAAATAGAATGAATAGACATGAAAAAGAATGAACACCAGAAAGGTGGACTAGGAGAAGAAGGAAATACAAAACCCCTCCATAAAGAAAAAAAAAAATAGAAAATACTATGTACCTGCATCATACAAGTTACAACAAGAAAACACTCTGATTCATCTAAGAAACTCAGCAGTGGAAATGGCCACAATTTCATCAATGGTGAAGTAAACACCTCGACGAAGATTAGCCCGTGTTAGGAAATACCCCAGAAAAGTTCGGAATTCTGTCAACATGCTTCAGTGCCCGCTCAGCAATCTGTCGTGTCCTATAATCACCATGTTGGAAAGCATCAACGAGAGCTGTGCTCACGTTCGGATCACCAGCGACTTCAAGAGCTATATCCTCTGTACGCAGTAGTCTTTCAGCTGCCCAAACTGCTCTTCTGCGCAGAGTTTCAGTACGCTTCTCAAGTAATACATCAAGAATAGGTTTGATTCCTTCAGTCTCACACAAAATCTGGACACCTTCTTCGATATCAACTCCATCATCTAACAAAGTGCATACAGCTGCAAGTGATGCCTCAACAACCTTTTCATTTGTGTGGTCTAGAAGTGCACCCAACTTGTCCACGGCTTGTCCTTCCAAGAGACAGAAGGTGTCTCTCAGAGAACATGTCCCACGATGAACCTTACACAATCCCGTTATAACAGGTGGCTTGCTCAAACAAGGGAAGATCGAGACACAAAAACCTGGCTTCGGCAGCTCAGGCAATTTGGTCAAGTTCTTGGATTCTTGAGATAAGTTCTCCAAAGCCATGGCGGAGACCATCTGCACATTATCAAGCCCATTGGTCTGCAGAAGTTCAATGAAGAGTGCGGCAACATTCTGTTCCCGACAAAGTGCAACGGCATCAGGCTCATCAGTCAAAACAAATGTGATCCTTGAGAGAACTTTCACGAGCCCTTCTAGATATGGCGTAACAAAGCGACTCCCTCTTGTCTCTCCCTGTCGGATACTAACTACCCTCGAGATTACCAGCGGGAAGACACCTTCGTCAAGCATTTGCCTAGTAAGTCCCCTATCCCTTTCAGGGAGATCAGCTAAAAGACCAACTGCCGCAGCTTGCTCTTCGGTTATACCAGTATTCTCTGATATGACTTTAATTAGACTACCAAGCTGACCTGATGTACCACGTAAGCAACGAGCGAGTTCTTGACCCATATGAGGAGAGAGGTTCCGCAGAAGCTTTATCGAAGCTACCCGAAGATCTTTCTGTGGAGCCTCGATAAACTGAACCAAACTAATAGTCGCAGCCGAGCTTTTAATGGCAGAAACAACATTAAAAACAGTTGTGGGAGAACTGGTTAAACCAACAAGAACTTGGAGAAGCTTGCATTCTATTGCAGGACCGGTGTTGCTAATAAGATGTAGAAAATTGTGAACTATGTCCTCTGAGACAAGCGTCTGATATTCAGAGCCAACCGGAACTGAATCAAAGTCATAGCCTGAGTTGACGATATTTGCAAGGATTGTTGCAGAGACTTCTTTCAGTCGCATGGGCAGTTGGTTAGCCCCAACAAAGAAGAGATCCTTCACAAGAGGGGGAAGTATACCTGCGTCTATGAGGATCTTGGCACTAGACTCGTAAGACGAGATTTGATTTAGAGATTTTAAAGCAGCCTCCCTTGATGACATGTTACCATGTTTCATGATGTTGATCAGTGATGAACCAACAGTCCTTGCCACCAATACTTTCACATCATTATTGAGAACCAGCTCACCAAGGAAAGCAGCCATGGAAAGTTTGGTTTCTGGCGCTCCTGTAACAATTGATGGGACAATAAAATTAACTTGGAAGATGTTGAATGAAAAAGCACATAATTTTGCTTAGAGAGATGTAACCAGTATAATGAGAAAGTATGGTCAATCTGGGACATTGCTGCCATATATCCATGGTTGATGAGTTTGTGTGTATCTACTTACCTCAAACACAATGAGCATGAAGCAATCAGTTTTAGTAAGTATAGAAGTCTGAAAAAAAAAAATTTAGAATGGAAACAGGCAACAGTATGTGATTTTTTGGTTAACTTAAAAGACATCAGAAGGGGTTATGCTCCAGCTCCCCTCCAAATTTCCAGCTTATGTTGCTCGGACTCTCCAAAAATGTTGCCGGATGCAAAAGTAGTGTACTTTTGAAGGATCCGACATGGGTGCGGCAGCATTTTGGAGAGTCCGGGCAACATAGTTTCCAGCCGACCCACCACCAAAAAGAACCACTAAACACAAAAGTAGTCGCGCACACACAAATATATGTCTAGTGAGTGTGTCCTCACATGTGCATGTGGAAGTCTCTGAGAAATTAAAGTGATAAGGCGTCAGCCTGTCACTACTAGATCTCTTACCAGAGGATTTATTACCTATACCAAGAGAAGATCTTGTACATAAAAGCAATCATGCTAACCTACCAAATTAGGCAGTGGCTATATAGTTTGAAAACCACTGATTACATTCTTGATAAGGAACTCTCTCCTTAAACCCCCCCCCCCCCTTCCCCCCNACTACTAGATCTCTTACCAGAGGATTCATCACCTATACTAAGAGACGATCTTGTATATAAAAGGAATCATGCTAACCTACCAAATTAGGCAGTGGCTATATAGTTCGAAAACCACTGATTACATTCTTGATAAGGAACTCTCTCTCCTTAACCCCCCCCTTCCCCCCATGTGAGTGAGGGAGTGAAACTTGTATTATTTGTATAATCAAGACTATATAGTCAGTATGAGACCCCGCAACAACATACCCCAAAAAAAAGAAAAAAGAAGAACAAAGGTATAAACGAGACAGCGATGCAAAAGATGCAAACGAGAATCAACTTATATGCTAAATAAGGAAGTGAATTATACGACAAGGATGGAAAGCGATGCAAATTAAGAGAGCGGCACATGAAGAAACTTCAGTTGGCTGGGCAAAGGAAAAGAAAGAAAGAAAGGATGTAACGATTGCATGGACATTTTACTGATCGACGGAAGCCAAACTTGAGACAAGTTCTTTTCCACCCAAGGAAATAAATGAAACTTTCATGAAAGCACTTTTACTTTAAGAGTTTGCTGTTCATTGTCACCGTAGTAAATTTGCTATTGTGATAAGTCCTGTAGCAGTTCTTTAGGATTGGGGTTATTAGTTAGGTCATATTTATTTTCAGTAACTTTTTTATTAGTTGTTCCCTTGTCTTAAAAATGTCATTTTTAGTACCTTTGCATCAGTTTCTCGATTCAGAACAATTAGGAGTCCTAGATTGTTTAGGATGAGGATTGTTAGTCCTTTTTCCTATAAATAGAACTGTATTTCAACTTTGTAATTCATTCAACCATTATTATTAATGATATTTTGTCTTTTGGCCTTTATATCTCTGTATAGAACTTCTAGAGTAAGTTTTTCCCTTCATTTTCTATCAATAAAATACAGTTTAAACATATCTCTGACGCTCTCACATTTCAAAACTCCTCATGGCGTATGACTTACAATAACTATTAGAATCGTACGAATAACTAAAATATACTGACAAAGAAAAAAGGTGCTTAGATTTATTTGTTAATTATCCTACATATGCCAACTTGCTCTCCAAACTGAAACGGTTTATTCTTTAGACTTAATTAATTTGAGGTTGTTGTTTCAACAATAAAAGGCAACAGAGAGAGAGAAAGAACAAACAAATAAACAACAAGCAAGCCGTCATCCTCCAAAGCCATCAAGCGGAACAAATAAACATTTAAAGTACATACAAAGAGGCACAAGAGATGGAGATTCAGACATCAAGTAAAGTACCTTCAAGTAGTAGATTTAAGAGGGGCCGCAGCCGACCATTTTCAGCCATTTGTTTTACATTAATCTCACACTTTTCCAGGTTCTCCAGAGTATTCTCAGCCTTCTCAACAGTCACAAGATTCTCCGACTTGCTGCTAGCCATTCCAACCAGAATCAGAATTGCCCCATTAACTGAACCAATTTTTTCGCATATAGTCTTAGATTTCGACAGCTCGTACAGCAAAGAAATGGCTGCCTCTCTTTCTTTTGATTGTTCATGTGATAAGAACTTCACTATTGTCCGTACATTGTCGCCCTCAGCCATTATTTCCTGAGGAAAGAGCAGGGCATATGATAAAAGAAATTAAAATTGGAAAAACATAAATAATAGGAACAATCAACTTCATAAAAACAACTTTGGTAACAACATAAGTACTTTTTTACCAAAGTTCTACAACCTTATTATCAATGTCATCCTCTACCACAACTAGAAGCGTTTCAAGAGCTTTACATCGAACCCTGCGACTGCTACTTCTTAACATTTCTACAATCATGGGTATGAGCTCCGCATTTCGAATAACATGTTTGTTTGAGCGACTTTTTTGGCAAAGGTGCTGGACAAACTTCAAAGCCTGCATAATATCACCCTCCCCACTACCCAGAGATAATGATCTGCGAGCCATATCTATTTGTGCAGCTTCATTCCTTGCATTCCATTCTTCAATGGTATTTCGTAGAGCTATACTTGGATTCAGCTCCGTGCTATTCAGATCTCTATGCGTTAAAGGGCACACAGGCTTTCTTCCACTATCCCTACATTCCTTGAACCATTTCTCAATAGCTTCCCTCTCAAAAGTCATGCCATTTTCCAGGGTAACAGGATCCTGCATTACTTGTTTTGTCAAGGGACATATAAATGCATCATAAATTGGTTCTATGTGCAGTCTCTCGAGATGGTAACTCTCCTCGGACGGGCTACCAGGATCATGATTCCCATCCCAGCTTTCAGCCATTATAGCTTTGTACCTGTCAACGCATCTAACATAACTTCAAATCCTAACACAAAAATCTCAAACAAATGGCAGCTCACGCATAAGCCGACCTCTTGAGCAAGAGTTTGCTCCTACTATTATGAAATGCTACTATTTCCATGATGTGATGGAAAAATAAAAACTAAACTTGTGAAGCAATATTGTCCCTTGTCCATTTTCCTAGCCTTCAATTCTAGAGATGAAAGCAAAACAAGAAATAGAAAGCAGAGAGGCTTCATGAAATGCTACACAATGCTAAGTGTCCACTTATAGGAATTCTTTTAACCAAGCTTATGTTTTTAATCAAGCCATCAGCATTTCTCTTCTATTCAATTATTGTCATTACTCTGCTTTAATGATATACAAAATTCTATCTTTGAAAATGTGACCAAAACTAAACAAGAGGAACTTGTAACAGAAGATCCCAAAAGAGAAATGACTTGGGTGGGATACAACTAGTAGCCCTATAATCAACAACAACAACAACAATAACCCAGTAAAATCCCTATGATCCAACTACAATTACAATGATCAAAATTAACTAGTAGCCCTATAATCAAAGATCAAAATTACAATGATCCAAACAAATTACAAATAGTAAAATTAACAATTCACTATGACCAAAAAGAAGTCAATATAAAGGAAAACTAGTTGTACCCCAATTTCAATTGGAAAAAAAAAAAAGTAACACCCTTTACTTGGGACAGTTAAAAAAACTAGAATTGAATTGAAAAATACATCAGTTAACCAAAAAAGCTCATACCTTTATGGAAAAAGACTCTGTTAGCTCAACTGCCAAGACTATGAAATCAACTCAGCAACAAAGTCCAAAGATGAAATTGAGCAAAATTCATATTGTTCCATGAATCTTGAATTTAGGGTTTGAATGGGGCCATGTTGGAGAGGAAGAAGTAAGGGAAAGAGCTGGCAGCAGGAGTTGATGTTGATGAATGAATACAACAAATTATGATTTTTTATTTCTGTAGTTGGGGAAAATATTTAAATACTTAAATTCTTGGGTTGACTCATAAAACACAGAGTCTTCGCTCTGCAACTTCAGAAAACCGGCCTTCATTTCTACATTGTGAGTAGCAACTAGCAATGGAGTAAAACTTTTGTTATTTTCAATATTTACTAGCAGTATTTTTTTTTTTCGCAGACCATATTTAGTAAATTTAAATTATTTTTTTGTCTTTTTTAGTGTCACAAGTTAAAATAATTTAGTTACTTATATCTAAACATAAAGAAAACAAAAGAGATATACAAGCTATCCCAATTAGTTATGTTTGAGATTTTGTTATGTTGATGTACTTACATTAAATCCAATATTTGCCAAGAATCTTAATCCACTTAAGACAAAGTTAAAATTGGAAAAATGATACTGTATAATCACTCTAAATTAATAGCTGAAAAAAATAGTGTGTGTATATACATATATAAGATTATAAATTTTATATATATTTACGACTATCGAATGTAAATAATTTTAGCCGCGGACTAAAAGTGATCTTTGCCATTTGTATATTGGAGTAGAAATAAGTGTAACATTAAGAGAATCTTTAATTTGTCTTAAATTAGTGAAGAATGAAAAACGAGTATAAATAGAAGAGATTAGACACAAATAATTCCTATAGTCAATCGACTCAATCCAAATTTGATTAAATAGAGACGTTTTCGGTGTAGTTAATTGTACTAAATATTTTTCTTTCTTTGTTGCTTCTCACTGTTTTCCCCTATCCTTTTCCATTAGTGTAAAAGCTATTCGTTTTTTTCAAGATACATGCACTTTTCGTTTTTTTTTTTCCCTTGATACTGACATGCACATTTTCTTCAATTTATCATTTTTTAGCAACATTTGTAAGCTTTTTTCTCAATAGGCAACAAAAGTAGGGAAAAAAGGGACGATATAATGACAATCTAAACATCAAATAACACAAAGTAATGGCGGAGTATAAACAAAATAAAATAGTATTGTTAAGAGATTAGAGTTCTGATCACAAACACAAACAATAAAAATTCAAATACAGACCAATGATTGTTTGGAATTTAGGCGTAGTAATTGTTGTCGTTTACATATATACATTTACTCCCTTTAAATAGGCTCAAGAAAGCAAAGTGACATTGCCATTGTGCAAGATATAACTTAGCCTTTATTTGGACTGTAATATTAATATTGTGGAACAAATTTAGGGGTCGTTTGATTGGAATACGATTTATACCGGTATAAGTTATATTGGGATAAGTTACTTCATACCCTTGAAAACAATGTATCTATTTACCTTTAGTTGCTAATATATATAATCATCCCTTCAACCAAAATATATATATATAAAAATTAACCTAGTATCAATTAGGACAAGTACCTTTCAAAGGACAAGGATCTATGTTATTTCTTTAATCTCAACAATCAGAATTTGGATACCCTTGCAAAAAAGATCACTAGTTAAGATGTTTCATATTTGATCACAACTATGTTACCAGCAACTAAGGACTAATAGAACAAATAGCTGTATATAGAAAATGTAAATAAATGAAATAAATATACAAAGCAGCTTAAGTTTACAGTGATATCTATATTAAGAACCTCTTCTATTTCCAGGTTCCAACACCTTCCACCTGGAGTGATCAAAATAATTCACTGCTTTAGCCAAGTGGAAACAATATCCACTGGATGGGACTCCAATATCGACGACTATGTTCTCTTTGGTCAGGGAAAAGCCTCAATTTCTTCAGTCTGAACTTAAAAACAGATTTCACCAGTTCAGAAATCACTTCATCAGTCCAAAAATCCATGTGAGAAGGACATCAAGCCAACTCTTCCGCAAATATGATATCAAAAATGAATTGCACTGCAGAAGAGAAGCAATTAGAATGTAGAAGTATGGATTCAATAACAACATTATATGTGTGGACTTCAGAGAATGCCTTAAAAGCTTCTTTTTTAGCACAGTTGAAGTTCAACACGAGCAAACGAAACCTTACTGCCATAACACCTAATTCCATAAGCAAAACTGCATTGTCAAGAGGCTTCATATGGTTGATCTTACCTTGTACATTTCCGAGGAGCTATAATCTACAGGCATTAGGTAACTTGATGGGATAATTAGCAAGAAGTTTTTTTTTGATGAAGTAAGATAATTTCATTAAATGGCATCAAGAAGATGCATAGCAAAAATATACAACAAAAGTGTGGCTGCACATATACAAAAACTTACATAACTAAGGAGCAGACACAATCCCAAAAAGATTCAAAGCTAGTTACAGGGGCCTGGTTGAACCAAGTAAATAAATTGATTAGACAAGTTGCTTTAAGAGAGTGATTAGGAGTTGAAATCCCATCAAAACATCTACGATTTCTCTCATTCCAGATGCACCAAAAAATAGTAGCAGGCACCATTTGCCAAGTTTTTTTGATGGATTTCCCAACTCTCCATGAGCTCCAGCTCTCGTAAGCATCCTTGATACTGCAAGGCATGACCCAAGCAAGTCTAAAAACTGATAAAAACATGTTCCATATGTCAGCTGCTACTGTGCAATGAAGAAACAAATGTCTCACACTCTCAGACTCCTCCTAGCACATAAAACATCTGTTCACTGTCGGAATGCTTCTTCTACTGAGGTTGTCTTGAGTAAGGCATGCTTCATGCAGGCTTGTC